TATAGCTCGCGTATGGTTGCCGCAGGGCTATAGTATCTTCCATTGCGGATGCGCGGGACCAACTTAGTCACACTTACTCGCGATTATAAAACGTCTGTGCTAGGCAATTAATGTGTCCTAGTAATACTAATAGTAAGAGCCCAGACCCAGTCCATTGACATATCATCAATACATGGGCTAAACGAAACAGGCAATATATACACATGACACTGGCACAATTGGTATCTCATCACAGCTCCTCATCACAGCACTGTACTGTAGGATAACATGAGGCAAGCAGGGCCTCAGCTATTCAAGTCTATTTCACACACACCACCGCTATCATAACCCGAACTCTAACCTAGCGTCAAAGCCTCGCTACCCCTCGTTCAGAATGAAGCCTTTGCTAGAGGCTAAATGTAACTTAACTATAGCCCATAAAACACCGTAATGATAACTCTTCACAGTCCAAGGGACTAAACCGAGTACAGGGACTATTGACCTGATTGATGCTCACCTCTTATCTTCTACAGATTGTAGCTACACTAGAGCTAAGTCGTAACCTGTCCAATCATCATTGTCTGCACATGTTTGCAAATGGTTTTTGCAATCGGTTTGTTAATTTATAAATATACAATCTCAAATTGATGTGAGGTAGATATAGGCTAGTAGTAGTAATTAGTAAATTAGTAATTAGTAATTAGTAAATTAGTAATTAGTAATTAGTAAATTAGTAATTAGTAATTAGTATTGCTCTTTATTTCTGTTTTACTGTGTCTACTACTACTAGTGTAATCGTAAACTGCAAATTTTTTTGCAGTTTGGTTTCAACGTGTTTCCCGATATTATGCGGCCGTTCAACACGCAGTATCGGGCGTACTCTGTTTCGATGATACCTGGTAACGAACGACGTGATGTGGAGGCAGGAGGAAAGAGTAAGCATCCTTGGCCGCATAACCATCATAGAATGGTATTGTACTCACAAATTTTGATCATAAAGGGGCGGCGTGGACTGTGATTGGAAGACACAAAGTGTCAATCCTCGGCGAGCGCCTCGGGATCATGGCCGCGTTTCGTCTAGATCCATTTTAAATGTTTCTGAAGTACCAGCCGTTAAGTAAGCGTTCTAATCATATTGTTTTTTGTTGTAGGATGGGAAACAACGGACTTGGGACATGATCAAAGTACATAACAGGTAGTTGAATTACACAAGCAACATCAACTTTCAATACAAGCAATTGTGACTAGTGCGTTACATCAAGCACACAACTACCTCTGCCAGTGTAGCCCCTTGGCTCCCGCTACAGGGCTATATAGAAAAGTATGGCGAACCCGGTGAGAAATCTTTGCATAGTGGCTGCCTACGCCGTACCAGGTGGTAAATAGAAAAGACCCCAACCAGCAAAATAAACGTTAGCTTGGGTTCGGCGGTCAAACCTCGAAGTCAACTCGCCATGATTTGGCCAAATTAGACCGTTTATCTAATTTGAACAATCGGACGAGGAGCATACGCAGCCATACAAAGATTTACTAGCAGTGCCAGGGATGCTTGTGAGCAGACACCCAGCACTCTGCAAATATTACTTGCCGAATACCCCCATACATTGCTGAACAGAACTGTTGAGGATTGAAGGGTTGCACAGATAGTGTTACATGTTACCCAACTTTACCAGCCAAAAGGTTGGGTGTCATGGTTTGCACTCGTCAAAACCTTTTGGAACGTTAATCTTTATCCAAATATAATCCAATCTTGGCCTGTCACGGCACCAGGCTGCTTGATAAGTGACCAGGTCGTGGATGGCAGCATACGTGCTGTGCTATTACAGCTGTTTCTCGGATTTTTCCTGCGTTAAGACTAGGAAACATTAACCAGTAGGGGCGAACCATACGAACTCGCAAGTCTAAAAGAGGGCATCCCACTTTAACTATTCACATTAGTAAATCGATTCGAAGATTCAAATGTGTTGTTACTCTCTATGTAATTTAAATTAGTGGAATTGTGGTTCTAAGTAGAAAATTCTATTCATTTCAATTTTTAATTGATGTATTTACTGCAGTAGTTACTCGTGATGACTATTAGTTATATTTTATAATTATTGAAATGGTACTAAATGTTATTTGTCATTTTTCAGTGTTTCTATTATCCTATACAACAGTACTAAAAAGAGTTTGGTTTTTGTCAAACAGTTTCGACCAGGTATGTATCTTGATTCTCACAATGACTTGTTAAGATTTGTATCTAATTAAAAAAAACTAGCAATAACTATAATTGCAGTAGACTTTCATTGAATTTCCATGACGTATACCCTACAAAGTAACACATAGCAGTTAAAGTAAGAAATAACAAAAGAGCAGCAACCGGCAGAATTAATAGTTCATTCCTGAAATTGTGCCACTCAAAAAAAAATCTCCGTCCGCAAGGTGGTGTATTTCTAAACTCTTTCTATTAGCTGCACCAGCTGTCGGCATGTTCCTCGATACTTGCATTGGTTATTAATCTAGTTTGCTCCATCGTTGTAGCGATATACATGAATGAGGCTATAACTGAGCCCGGAGAAGACGGTAGTGCAACGGTAGACACACGTCAGCACCCAGGCAGTCGTGGGCTGTCGTACGAACTATGTGCAGGCATTGTGGATAAGAACAAACCGCTGGCCGAGATCGCTCAGGACGAAATTCTGGAAGAGTGCGGGTATGCCGTACCGATAGACCGACTGGAAAAGGTTGCAACTTACAGGTACCTCGAGTGATTCTTCAGGACCATTGTATTGTGCATTCATACTATTTCCATTGTGTGCATACTTATATTAATCATTATTCAATGTATTCATATATCCGTATTGCATCTATGAACTCGAACGACCGTTTCCGTGCCTTTCTCTAATTATTTGATTAATAAAACGCTATGCACGTCTCTTTTTCTGCTCGCAGAACAGGCATAGGAACTTCGGGGGCGATGGGGACCATGTTTTACGCGGAGGTGGACGACTCGATGGTGGTGTCAAGCGGTGGCGGGAACCTGGCCGAGGGAGAACTCATCGAAGTGGTTCATCTTCCCGCCGAGGAGGCGTTAGACTTTCTCTGGAACGATGCTGTCAACAAACCCGGTGGTGTACTGATGGCTGTCATGTGGTTTTGCCATAATAAGTTGCCAAAAATCAAACAGACGGCTCTGGCAGAGGAGTGTAGTTAACAGTATAATACATGTAACTGTTGATTATAGGGTTGCAAACTTGCAACGGAAATTGTACTGTGATCGTGGCAAAAGGACTACAAACTGTGTATGGCATGAATTTCAGGAAAAAACTTCCATGTTAGTATTGTAAATGTATTTACACAGTAACACTGGACTATAAAACTCGTTTATATGAGCATATTACCATATAATTATGATATGAATGTATTATAATTATTTTTGGGGGTTTATTGTTTATTAACCATTTCGTATTATAAATGTATATACATCGTAACAATGAAATGTCGTACCAGTTTATATAATGAGCATATTAATCTATAATTATGATATGAAATTATAATTATTTTGGAGATATATATTGTTCATAAATTATTTCTTGTTGGTGTTTTTTTCTCATATTAGGCCTACTATTCCAGTCAAAATGTTAACGTTGTATCACCAGATCGGCCCTGTCCTGTAATATCACAATTACAGCAGTCACAGAAACATTAGAATTACAGATGAACGGAATGACAATTACATATAATCTCTAATTCCTGTGGCACAGATCCAAGCTAAGTCAGTACATCTGTCAGTGATCAGTAACACCTGATCAGGGGTGAATAATAGAGATAATCTATTATTCACCCCTGACCTGATCATTCGTTGTAAAGCTAAGCTAGAAAGTTGTAAAATAAAGCTATACAGTTGGGGGTTAAAACCCAGTTCAAATATTATTATAGTCTGGGTTATTCTGCATCTAAAGTTAAAAAAATGGCTCACAAGGGTATATATATATATATATCATAGACGTTCTCTCTTCACTTCTATTATATATATATATACTGAATCCCTATGGGTGATCAAACTACATGCAGTGGCCTTCGTACCGCTTCGTACACTCAGGCTTGGATACAGTGAGAGCGAGAGCGCCATCTGTCGTGGAGTTTGATGGGTGGGAATTATGGGTAAAATAATCGTCTCCGAAATGCAACACGTGTGATGTTGTGGACCTGTGGTTGTAAATACTGACTCACTGTGTTGACTTTACGTTTTGTTTTTTAACTATTTAGCTTCAGTTCCGGCGTTTAGCTAGGTGACAACAAACTATTCAACATGGTAAGCATTTCAGAGTGATATACTAATAGGCTTATATTATCTATGGTACTAGTATTACTCTGTGTACACTGACTGGCTAAAATAATCTGGACGGAATTTCAGCTACACAAGAGCCTTCAGGGATAGAGAAGATGTCCAGTCCTATCTTATCAACTAACATCATCCAATCCAATCACCGTACTGGACATCATCTCTATCCTTGAACCGAGCCTTACTCCCTTAGTAATAGCAGGAGTAAGATAATATTACTTAAGACGAATAGCGCCGGAGTGCTTTGTCTGATTTTAGCAATTGCCGACCAGAGATTCGGCGTTAAAGGCGGCCGGGCGAAGCGCGGTCGTATCGATCAAAGACAAGCCCACACTTCCCTGCTTAACCAGCGAGAAGTAACGGGAGG